AGGACGCGCTCAGGACAGTTCAGACATTTCAGTGCATCAGGGGTAAAAAACTATATAAATACTGTTCAGTTTCTTGCACTGACTGATCGTTTTGTGTCTTTACACATCAATGTATCGTCACGAGCCGCAGGCTTTGATTTGGTTTTGTTTGTGTATGTTTTTTTTTTACTCTCAAAGCCGTGATTCCCATTCACTTCCATTATATGACTGACAGACTGCAACGGTTTGAGTTAAAAATCTTAGTTTGTGTTCTACTGAAGAAACAAAGTCACCTATATCTTGGATGCCCTGGGGGTAAGCAGATAAACATCACATTTTCATTTTTGGGTGAACTATCCCTTTAAGAACTGATAAAGTATATGGTGCCCCTGGGAACTGGGAAGTATGCCAATGCTTGAGCAGACACAGAGGGAGATATATATAGTTGTGATTTCTATGTTCTTGGCCACTTATTTCCAGCAAAATATGCAAATAAAATAAGTAAAAGTAGTAGTCATGAAGGTGACAATCAGATGTAGCCTTGTGTGAATGTAGCCTTGATATCACACAGCATTTATTTCTTGTCATACTCTTTAGTAAAGAACACAAACAGGGTCTCACATTTACATGACTTTTCACATGAATCTATAAGTGTGATGGCAAAAAATATTTTTACTACTCTGACCACAATTGAATTGTCTTCCAGAATGAATGTACAGATGATTGTAAAAAAAAAAAAAAAAAAACTTTTTCTAAACCTCTTGTGACTCTGAGGAAAATGGCAATTTCTTCCCAGAATGAGTTTTCAAATGACGTTTCATGCTGCTTTGACTTTTGAAACTCTTCTCACACTGAAGACACTTGTAAGGTCTCTCTCCAGTGTGAACTCTCATGTGGAGCTTAAGGTTTCCTTTAAACCTGAAACTCTTTCCACATTGTTCACAGGTGAAAGGTTTCTCTCCAGTGTGAGTTCTCATGTGATCCTTGAGGCTTCCTTCTCTTGAGCAACTCTTCCCACATTGATAGCACATGAAAGGCTTTTCTCCGATGTGAGTTATTACATGATTCTTAAGGTGATTCGTGTCTGTGAAACTCCTTTCGCACTGATGACAATTAAAACTCTTCTCTCTTAAATGAATCGTCATGTGATAATTAAGGTTTTCTTTATATCTGAAACATTTTCCACACTTATCACATGTGAATGGATTCTCTCCAGTGTGACTTCTTATGTGAGTCTGTAGGGTATCTTTGATCCTGAAACTCTTTCCACACTGAGGGCAAGTGTAAGGCTTCTCTCCAGTGTGAATTCTCATGTGGACATTAAGGGATGTTTTCTGTGTAAAACTCTTTCCACACTGAATACATATGAACGGTCTCTCTCCAGTGTGAATTCTCATGTGAGTCTTGAGATCTCCATTTCGTGTGAAACTCTTCCCACACAGTTTGCAGGTGTAAGGTTTCTCTCCAGTGTGACTTCTCATGTGGTCATTAAGGGGTTTTTTCTGTGTAAAACTCTTTCCACACTGAACACATATGAAAGGTCTCTCTCCAGTGTGAGTTCTCATGTGAGTTTTAAGACTTCCATTTCGTGTGTAACTCTTCCCACACAGTTTGCAGGTGTAAGGTTTTTCTCCAGTGTGAGTTTTAATGTGGACATTAAGGAGTTTTTTCTGTGTAAAACATTTTCCACACTGAGGGCACATTAACGGCTTCTTTTCAATGTGAATTTTCATGTGGACTTTAAGGCTTTCTTTTCGATTGTAAATTTCTCCACACTGTTGACAGGTGAAAGAGCACTCTTCAACATGAATTCTCATGTGGGAATTAAGGTTTGTACTTCGTGATTTTTTAGCTTTTTTTGCTGAGGAAGTCTTTTCAGTCTGTGAGCAACTAACTGATTTTTCTTCAGTTTTGAAATCATGGTGTTTATCATTTTGATATTTCTCTTCTGTTTCATTCAGTTCTTGACTCTCCTCTTTCAGCACCATCAGGTCTAAGGTGAAAAGAGACAAATACAAGTTAACACCAGTTTAACACAGCAGCTAGAGCACGTACTAGTCACAGTGACCACTGTCTGCATCATCTTAGTCTGAGAACAGACTGCAAAAAGAATGAGCATTTACTGGCCACAGCATTGGCCAAATTCAATCTGAAACTAAAGACACTTCATCAGTGCCAGTCCTCCCTATACGCAAAGTACGTAAGTTGTGTACGACCCTCGAACCACCAGGGGCCCCATTGCAGCGGTGCAATTAATAGAATCTTAGTTTCATTGTATTATTTTGGCTTCCAGCAATAATGAAAACACAATGCTGCATTCTGTTCCTGTCATTTAAAGCATGGTGACTTTCCTTGTGCGCAATCCGAGACGGTGTGAAACACAGACAAGTAGGCTACTGCTTAGGGTGTGTACTTAACTCAACAAATACACTCAAAAATATGTCAAATACCCTTCTTGGTGAGTTTTCACTTAAATGCAGTCAGTTATGTCTTAATTGAACATAAACAATAGGAAAAGTAATCGAATTGAGCACTAATGCTTACAGTGTGAACGTAGCCTAAGACCTGAAATTGGTATGAGACATGTAAAATACTATTGGCATATTCCAGGACAGGGTTTAATTTCAAATTTTTACTCTCTTACCTCCATCTTGTGGACGTGGATGTATGTCATTGCCCACACTGAGGAAGTGAACAATACTGGCAGAACCAGTGCGATGGGTTTAAATGGAAAACTCTGGATCACTGACTTATTATTTGCCATCTTTTCCTTATAAGTTTGAAGCAAAAGTTTATGCAGCATCCTATAAGCCTATAGATATGAAATAGGCATTTAGGGAAAGCGTAAAAAAAATACACAAATGAAAATAATCAAACATGATATATAATCAAAGTGAACAAAGAGCGCTCTCTTTATAATCACTAGAACTGTCAATTACTTTAGTTCAACATGAGCTCATTGACTGAGTTCTGCCATGGCACCAGAACTCCCTTTAAACTCAATAATGCTGTCTATACTTTTTTTTTTTTAAATCATGTTTTAAACAGATAAAAAACTATATTACATTTTCATTAAATCCCTTTTGTGTGTGTCAAACGATCACTTGCATTCATGTAGAACATTATATTTTGCTATTGACCATTTTGAGTGAGAAGAGATGGGCGAGGGGAAGGAAGTGGATGAAAATTAAAGGTGAGAAGGGGGTTTTTCTCACATCTTCTCTAAGTGAGATGTCAGAACAGATGCCTGTATGTTAATACACTGTGGGTGTATTGCCCGTATCTCAGAAGATCAAGGTGTCTGAGGTTCTTCAAGTCTTACAATTGAAACATTTTCCACACTGTTGGCAGGTGAAAGGCTTCTCTCCAATGTGAATCATCATGTGGACTTTAATATTTTCCTTGTTGAGTACAATTCTTTCCACACTGTTGGCAAGTGAAAGTCTTCTCTCCTGTGTGAATTCTCATGTGGGCGTTTTTTATGTAAGTCTAAGCCCGAGGGATGACGTCAGCTCTGGCCAATAGGTCTTATGCAGTGGCTGTGCAACAGATATTTCAGGCCAAACTTGTCTGTGACATGGACGAGTCTGGCCGTGATCCTAGCGCTACCAAGGCGATGACGCAGGCAGTAGGCAAGGCCATAGCCAATCTGGTGGTGTTGGAGCGCCACCTATGGCTAAACCTGACGGAGATCAGGGACGCTTAGAGAATGGCTTTCCTTGAGTCCCCAGTCTCTCCAAAGGGACTTTTCGGCCCTGCTGTGGACGAATTCATGGAGCGCTTCACTGAGCCACAAAAGACGTCGCAGGCGCTGCGTCACTTTCTGCCTAAGCGCCCCAGCCCGGCGACTGTTTCAAGCCGCCCCAAGACAGCGTCCACACAGCAGCCTGCAAAGCCGGCGCACTCCCAACCCCTGCCTAAGCCAGAGCCTGGGCTTCAACAGTGCCCCCGGACAGCCAGGAAGTACCCCTTCCCGAAGCGCCAAGGTCATTGCCCTCGCGTAGCGCTGACCCAGAGCCTCAGAAGTCGTCTTGATCTGCGTTTAGAGAGGAAGAGGAGAGGGCCAGTTCTCGCCGATGCTGGAACCCCCTCAAAGAAAGCTCGTGATCATTCCCCACCTCGTACACTTCTGAGCAGTGGAGTTCTTTTAACAGGGCACGTCCTGCAAGTTCAGTATGTGCCCCAACAAACTACCACTGTGATAGCAGACCCACATACATTAAAGAGCATTTCTCGTCTCCCTGCAATCACAAATGCCAGTACAGTCCCTGGCCAAGCGCACTTTTACGAAGTGCATAGACTCTTTCCCCCCTGAGGCAGATGGGAATCCGCATTTTGAACTACCACGATGACTGGCTAGTACTAGCCGAACCAGAACGGGAACTTACCACTCACAGGTCATTATTGCTCAACCACCTAGAGTGTCTTGGGTTGAAAATCAACTCAGCCAAGAGTCTTCTGACTCCTAGACAGCGAGTGACCTTTCTAGGGACAGTCTTAGACTCAGTGCAAATGCAAGCTTGGATTACGCCAGAACGCACCCTGAACATCCAGCGAGTGGCGGCGTCGTTCAAGCTGAGAACTCCACATCCCCTCAGGGTATTTCAAAGGATGCTTGGTCTCATGGCGTCCACCTCAGTTATTCCCCTGGGCCTGCTACACGTGGCCTCTGCAGTATTGGCTAAAAGCCCACGTCCCGTCCCACGCCTGGATCCCATCGCTGCATCAAAGCTGTGGCCCCTTGGACAACTCCTCGCCTGTTTCAATCGGGCGTGCAGTTGGGAACGACCTCCAGAAGGAAGGTAGTCACGACGGATGCCTCCAGCTCGGGCTGGGGCACTCTGTATGAGGGCAACCCAGCCTACGGCTCCTGGCCGACCCACGAGCGATGCCTACATATCAACGGCCTCGAAATAATGGCTGTTTGTCTGGCCCTGAAATCTTTCCTGCCAGCCTCGAAGAGGCACCACGTCTTGGTCCGCTTGGACAACACCGACAGTGGCAGCCTATATCAGAATCAGAATTATTCGCCAAGTGTGCGCAAACACACAAGGAATTTGTTGTGGTTTTAAGAAGCTCTTGGTACATACATGCATACATACATACATACATAGATTAGGGATGGGAAGATTCACCGATTCGCTCGGTGCATTGGCAAAAAAAGTTAACGATGCGATGCATCGGTTTAAAAAGTGTGCATCGGATACAAGTTGGCATTTGTATCGCGATGCATCGTTTCTAACATATTTGCATCGGTAAAAACCGATGTATATATAATTACTAGTGGATGGCTACACTTTTATTGTTTAGAAAGTGACCAATAATCTGTGACCAATATTTTATATGTAGATTGATATCTCCTCTCTAAACTGTTTCTCAAGCGCGTTCTCTCATCACCGCTGCGCGTGAATATGACGTATCACAACAACACTACAGAGACCTGAGGAAAAGCGGGGATTAAAGTCCAAAATCTGACTTGAAATAACCTAACAAATCAATCGGGGCTAAAGCGGTTCCATAAATGACAAATTAAGTTCACACAATCTCACTAATTTGTGCACGCTTATTCTTAAGCAGACCTTAATGTCGATCATGGATCAAATCGATCCACCATGAGGAAAAGCGGGGATTAAAGTACAAAATCTGACTTGAAATAACCTAACAAATCAATCAGGGCTAAAGCAGTTGCATAAACGACAATGTAAGTTCACACAATCTCACTAAGGGCTGTTTAAGATTAAGCGTCCACAAATTAATGTCGATCATGGACCAAATCGATCCACCATGGCAAACAGCGAATATATATGTGCTGTTTAATGCATTTGAGACATTGTGTTTTCCTTAGTGCATAACTGACATGTCACGAGAATATTTTTTAAGTCATGCAAATATATCCATTTTGCTTGCTGTCAGGAGTGGGCGAGGCATACGCGAGTGAACGAGCTCTGCTGCGCACATGCACACTAAACAGACGGAGCACAATAATTCTGAGTCAAATATGCATTTTGCTAAAATATTCGTTGTTGTACATTAAATGTGCCATTTGTAGAATTTTAAAACTACATATAAGTGTATTCTAATGATAGCAGTAACTGTAAAGGGACTATTGTAATGGGTAAATAAAATGTAAGCTAATACAGTCCTAATTACTAAGCTTACTACTTAATGTGTTTCTTATAGCAGTTAAAATGTAGTTTTAATTTAGTGATTTTAACTTTTAGTTTAGTGATTTTAATGCTTTAAAGAGCAATGTTAGATTGCACAGAACCGACTCAATAACAGCTGAGTAAAACTGGCATATGCACCTGTGGCAGGTTGAACATTTTCAGTTGACGAAGGAAGTACAACCTCTGCTGAGCCTTTTTCACATACATACATACATACATACATATCTGACATGAGAACAGAACTATTTAAATAAGACTTAACAATAAATAATAATGTTTATGAATCTGGAACAGAAGATTTATGTACAGATTTGTGCATTATTTACTCTATATATACAGCTGTATAAAAAATATGTGTATGTATTTACATAGTACTTGAGAGAGAGGCAATAATTAGAGATGGAGAATGAATTACAGGCATGAATTACAGAACACAGGTAATAATTCATGTTGTTAGCTGTTTAGGCTGGAGATGGCATGGGGGAAAAACTGTTTTTATGCCTAAATGTTCTAGTGCACAGAGATCTGTAGCGTATGCCTGAGGGGAGAACTGCAAACAGGTTGTGTCCGGGGTTGAGAGGGGTCTTTGATGATGTTACCTGCCCGTTTCTTCACTCTGGAGTTGTACAAGTCCTGAAGATTGGGCAGGTGGACACCAATGATCCTTTCTGCTGTCCTAACAGTCCGCTGCAGTCTTCTTATATCTGATTTGCTGGCTGACCCAAACCAGACAGTTATAGAGGAGCACAGAACCGACTCAATAACAGCCGAGTAAAACTGTTTGACTGCATCATCCACAGACCTGTTTGCTCTGTAGGCAAACTGAAGGGGGTCCAGCAAGACTCAAGTAATGTCCTTCAGGTGGGCCAACACCAGTCTCTCAATTGACTTCATCACCACAGACGTTAAAGCAACAGGTCTGTAGTCATTGAGTGTCATCTGCAAATTTCAGGAGTTTGACAGAGGGGTCTTTAGAGGTGCAGTCGTTTGTGTAGAGGGAGAAAAGCAGTGGGGAGAGAACGCAGCTCTGAGGAGCTCCAGTGCTGATGGTGTAGGTGTTGGATGCGAGTTTTCCCATCCTCACTAGCTGCTGCCTGTCTGTCAGGAAGCTGGTGATCCACTGACAGATGGAGGTGGGTACAGAGAGCTGGGTCAGTTTATTCTGAAGGGTGTCCGGGATGATGGTGTTGAAAGCGGAGCTG